GAGACTCTCCCGTGAGGATTAAAAACTACACAGCATTTTCTTCCTTAGATGACAGAAAAGAGGCTATCTCCTGCTCGATCAGAAAATGTTGCCTTTGGTGAGCAAAAATCACAGCAGAATCTGCAGCCATCATCTGGACGGTTCCCGGCTCTTTCTCCCATGATGGAACGAAATCAAAGTGGTTGCTAAATATCACCTTTTCTGTGAGTTATCAGAAAAAGCACACAACACTTGTTTCATAGCATTTATTGAAGCTCTCGGGCGGTTTGAAGACTATCCCCCGATCTTAATAAACAAACTGGTGCCCAAACCAGTCCCTTGCAGATATTTCAGAGGAAGCAACTCTGCTCCTGAGACACAGTGCCGAGGCAGTGTTGAGTAAGGATGTGGCGGCAAAGTGTTTGCAGAGGGCCTAGGGCTCTTTTTGAAATTTTGAGGGGAAGAGGACCCTGTCCTTTCACCAACCCAGAAGTATAATAGTGGCTACACATTGTCCAGCCTTTGCCTCTATATGTCCCCAACACAGGGAGCCTTCCAGATTATCATATTTCACTTTCTGATGAACAATCTGTGTTTCTTCCTGCTATGGGAGTGTGGAAAAGAAAACGGACTATCAGGAAAATTCTGTACCCTTAATGCAAACTCATCTCTCCATCTGAGACTAAAGGAGCTGGGTGTTTGCTGTAGCCTAAGACATTTTCAAGTCAAATTTGAGGCCCTCTGCCCCTTGAGAGGGCATCTCAAGGTGCTTGCTGGACTATTCTTATGCATTCCCATACTGTGAGGGCTTTCTCCCACTGAAGCTCACATGAACAGACAATGGGGCTTCTTGAAAACATGTCAAACATGATAAGACATACATGTTTGTCAAATGCATGGAATAAATGAGAGGTTTTATAGCCCCATGGTTTGGTCTAACATCTGTTATTCCCTACAACTTGCTTCTCACGTTTAATTGATTGGTTCCTGGGTGGATAGAACGACACCTTGGGACACCATCCTATTAACAGTGGCTGTTCCTGCATCTGTGAGAAGATCCTGTCATTTCTGCCTTTAAGATCATTTAGGCAGTTTGTTACATTTGTAGATTTGCATTTATTGAACCATCCCTGCATTTCAATGAGATAGATAACTTGGTCATGGTGTTCCAATTCCAAGTGGATGTAGAGATGGTAAAGAGCAGTGGAAAGGTATATTCACGGGCTAGAAAACTGCATGGGGAGCTCCCACCATGGTTAATACTCCCACAGAACCTGCTGACTTTGAGCAGGTCATTGAAAGTGTGTGTATTTCACACCAGCGAGGCAAGCATGGCAGATATAGTTTATCACTGCCACTGAGAAAGGCCTCCTCACAGCATTTGTGGAAACATTCACTGCAGAAATTGGTTGGTTGGGCTGCTGTATCTCCTGCACTTCTGATAGGAGAGAAGTGGAAAGCATTATTGAAGTAGCTTCAAGAAAGGTAAAAATCATTGATTTTGACCCACCGGCCTTGCCCCATTACTTGTGAGTGCTTCTCCTCATTCTTAGTGCTAACAGCAGAACCTAGATCCCCCAGTCTTCCAACACGGACCGAAGACCAACAGCTCTCCAGAATACTCTGGCCTTTGATACCTTTGACTGCGGAGGCATACAGCATTATGGACCTCGTCATTTTTTTCGACCACACGCCATATGCAGAAGACCAGTTTTTGGACTCCCCAGCTTTCACTGTGAAACCCAGTCTACTAAATATATTTTGTGACATGCATCCACTCTGTTGGTCCCTTCTCTAGAGAACCTTTACTGGGTCCTCTGGGAGAGCAGATGGTGATTTTAACATTTAACATCTCAAACCTCTCCCCGCCTTCACCCTATTTCTTTTTGTTGCCATGTGATGGCCCTATAGATGTGTATGGAGTAATAGAGTGAAGGAAACAGACTGAATATAAAGCCCAGTTGTTTTCCTGTATTCAGGGATCCCTGCTCATTTCCCATTGCAGATGCCCAATGGTTTCTTCTGTATTTCCTCCTTGGATGTCATAGGTCATATCGTATTACTGCATCATATTTCATGATTTCTAGGATGTGATTTTATGTACCTCTCACCTGGAAATGAAAATTTCTCATTTCTATGAGAAAGCAGACACACTCTGAAACATACAATCTTGGACCCAGGTTCTCAACCGACTTGGTCGATCAGGTAGAATTAAGGAGCCAGAATTTCAGACAGTGAACTCATGACTTGAAAGCTTTTCCTGCATTGTTGAATCCTGGGTCCTTGTAAAATCAAAAGCAATGCCTTTGATACAGAACAAGGGAAAAGCTAGAAAGAGTGAGGTGAATTTCCCTCAAGGTAGAGTGGAGGGAGATTTTGCATATGAATGTGTGAATTTTAGCCATCTTAGTTCTGTTTATAGGGAGCTTTTTAAAACATTTCCTGTCCTGAGCTTTATGCAAATCAAGTGTGCTTCACTTTCTCTCAGCATTTTCATGATTATTCAATGTGAGTAAAACAGTAGAATTAATTACTGAACACCACTATTTTAGAACACTATAAAGATATATTGTTCTGGAAAGAGTATTGTGAAACTACCTCCCTCTTCCTCCTCATCCCTCATCTTTGTAGTGATTAGCATCCTCATCCCCATCACCACCATCATCTTCATCCTTACTCTGCAGCATCACCATCACCAACACCATTTACCATCATTGTCATCAGCATCCTTCCTGTCAATGAAGCATTTTATTCTTTTCAGATGTCTCCCTCTCTATTAAGTCATTTTCATCTCCATGGAAACCTTGGGTAGTACCCAGGTAAGGATTAAATATACTTCTGTTCCAAATATAAAAATTGAAGATAAGTCAGACTGGTAGTTTCTTTTGTAGAGTTCACACATATAGGCAGGGATAAAAGACAGCTAGTTACCCTTTCTGACAGCATTGAGCCAGTGGAGAAGCTTTCCTTGGGAAATAACAGGGTGGAGTAATAGGAGGGTTCCAGTAAGTCAAGACCCTGAAAAAATAGGAGTTAGAGGCTTAGAAAAGGAAGGCTCGGATGGGAATCCTAATATTATAGGAATGAGCAGCCACATTCATCTGCAGAAGTTAATTGAAAATGTTCCTTCCTCAAGCTTGTAGAGGATCCCATAAACAGCCATACCTCCACATAATGGTGTCCATTCACAAGCTAAAGATGCATGAGTCTGCTAAGTAATTTTCTTAAATTTGTGCATGTTTATGTGTGTGTGTGTGTGTTGAGCTTCGAACTCGTAAACTTTAGCTAAAGTGTCATGGCTTCTGTATCTCTCCGGTGTACAAAGACACTTTTAAACTGAAATGAACACAGCAGCAATTATACTGCAGTATTCAAAAGGATGGGCTCTTTTCTCATTTAGAAACGCAAGCAGTAGCCATGAATCATCCATTCCTGGGAAGGGCGGGGAGCAGAGCATTAAATATAATTTATGCTTTGCTAATTGAAATCAAATACCAAGTTCAGTCTCTCTGGGAGTTGCCATGCTCACATTTAAATGGGGCAGAAGTATTATTAACCTGACTCTATGCTGGCAAGTTGGCTTAGCTTTTATGGATAGATAATGATTCCTTCAGCAAGCCTTCACACTCAAGGAAAAAGCCCAGTCGTTCACTGTGAGTCAGAAAGTCAAAGGAATAGTAGCTACCGAAGAAATCAGACCTTAAACATGCCAAATTTGCATTTCTTTTCAGCATCAAGACTCAAATATATTGCCAAGTGGAAGTTTTGTTTTTGTTTTGTTTTAAATCTTCTTGTTCTTGAAGCTTAGTCTTCTGCCCTTTCTTTATACAGAAAGGAATATAAATAACTTAAGAAGGAGTTTTCCAGACTTTTATTTCACAAAAGAAAATGGTTTATTTACCTCTTGTTAACCATATTAATATGGGTTTGTCATCTTTATATGGAATATTTAAGTAAGGACACAAACTTAGAGGCTGTGTTGTTTGGAAGGAAGCATCATTTAAATGTGAATCTTATAGGCTTATGAAGACAGGCAGACTGGGGAGACTGAAGAGCTTAATCAAGATGTGTCCATCCAAAACGGGACAGGAGGGCAGGCTGGGAATGGCTGTATTAGGCCGTAGAAGAACGTCATTAGAGGTATTCTAGAACATTGCCCTTTGGCAGAGTTATGATGTCACTATAACCTAGCTACTACTGAAATCCCAAACAGAACCCATTTCTGCAAGGATAATATATCCTTCCTTGTAGTGTTAAAAATCCCTGGGGCCACATTCCTTGGAAGTAAATCTCACCACAGGTCTAGTCTAGAGCTCAGGAAACAGTGTCCTTCTTCTTTCCTTACTTCTTCCTTCCCTTCCTCCTGCCTCAGTCCTCTCCCCTTTTTCCTTCCTTTTCCCCTTCTGTTTATGTATTTACTTACTTTTAGCCAATGTCTCCCTGTATGACATAGGCTGCCTCAGGCTCAACTGCTGTGGTTCTGGTGTCTTCCACCACACTTGGCTTGGACATATGTGTTTTACAAAGTCTGCGGGTGATTCAGCAAGGGCTGGTACACACTCCCTCTTTGTTCTGTTCACAGAGCAATTCCCATGTCAGCTCCATGCAGTCCACCTTCTCTGCATGTGTACACCCCCCTCCTTTAAACATGTGAGCACGTGTCCTTTGATCTGTATCTTTGTTGACTTTGGCACATCTGTTGCCTTCAACTCAATTTTCTTATCTGAAAAAAAATATATTTATGCAGCTGGTTTTGAATCTGAGTTATCAGTCCATCACTCATGGGGTGATGAAAAACCTAATGCCTCCTTCCCAAGCCATAGTGTTTGTGTGGCTGTAAGAAGCATCCTGCCCTGCACATAGAAACCCCTAAATACTCGGAAATCTGGTCCCTCTGTTCATCCTGAACAAAGCCATTTCTTGTGCTCCAGTGTAGGGGTGGGGAAGAAGTGACCAACACAAATACACCATTAAAGCCCATCAATCAGGTTGCATTAAGCTTTATAACAACACAGTTTCCATTTAGTGGGAAAAATGACAGTTTAATCACAGCCGACCAGATTCCACTCTCCCCACTCATACAAATTTCCAATTTTACTACAATTTCTGGCTTTGGAGATCTGTGAACAAGTGCTTTATGTCAACTGCTTTGTTTCCGTCGACCACACTAATGGGAAGGGACACATTATTTGGCAGCCCTTGAAAAGGATGTCTGCAGACAGTCCTTGCCCTCCCCACCCACTTCACACTGCAAATCAGCGTTCTTGCCAATGGCCCAATAAATACCATCTAGGAGTAGAGCAAATGAGCCATGAGGTGACCCTGAGGGGGCAGAGGTGAGACAAACAGAAAAACGTTGAGTGTTCCCTTCCTCTCTGCATCCTGAAGGGTTACTCAGAACAACTAACAAACAAGCTATGGTTTTTGTCTCTAGGGCAGAGCCTATCCCTAGAGCATGCCTCAGGACCAAGATCCTTAGGGAAGAGGATCGTTAGGTAAGGGGGCCTCCCAACTAGAGGACTGGGTTTTTTTTCTTATACCCCCCACATATAGGCATTCATCTTTGACAACGTCAGGGCTCAAATCATAGCTGCTGTCTCCCTGTTCTAGAAGCATTCATGTGGGTCAGATTCCAATGTGAGGATATGTGCTAAGCTTCTCTGTAATTTGGAACACGCGTGAGGAGAGAGACCCATCTTGGAAGGCTCTCTAATAGAATGCTCCAGGGGTGTAGGCTATTTTTTGGTGAGGAACATACGTGCATGCCTTTGCCTTCATATTGTGGGAAGGGAGAATGTCAAAGGGTTTTGGGATAAAGCCTTTGATGGGAAGGCTAGACAGGCTTGGAGGGAGGATATTGCTCCCTGGGAGTCTTGGAGCTCTCAGCCACCAACAACATTCTGGAGAGATGCCAGAGCAGAAGTTTATGTACCAGAAATTAAACACAAGGTTAGAATCCAGACTCCCAAGACAAATACAATAAGAGCTCCTGCAAGTACATTTTCCTTCCTTCCTTCCTTTCTTCCTTCCTTCCTTCCTTCCTTCCTATCCTTTCTTCTTTTCTTATTTCCTTTCTTCCTTCCTATCCTTCCTTCTTTCCTATCCTTCCTTCCTCCTTTCCTATCCTTTCTTTCTTCCTTCTTTCCTATCCTTTCTTCCTTCTTGCCTATCTTTCCTTTCCTTTCTTTTCTTTTTGCCACTCATCAACATCATAGCATACGTCTTTGACACTGGAAGATGTTTATCTTGTCTTCAAGGCTCTATTAACTAGTAGAGGCTAAATATTCATGGTGGATTCTGGTGGCCACCTTGTCCACCAGGTACAGCTGGTTCCTTCACAGGGATGCCATGAGATCTATACCTTTGCCTAAGCCCACAACATTGGAAGTAACCTGACTGGATGAGGTTGGCAATCTACTTGGCACTCCAGCATGGCCAAAGCTTCAGAACCTGGGGGATGTGGGACTCTGGTAAAGAGTATCCTTGCTATTCCTTAGCCTTCCCTCCACACTGTCAGCCTCACTTATCACCCTCTTCCTGTTCCCACTGAAAATCTTGACCAGTCATTTGGTAAAACATCATGTTGAAGGGTTTGTAGAATTTCCGAAGTCTGTGGATGACATCTGGGTCAATGCGGGGATGAGTCCGACCTTTGCTCTTGCCCAAACATCTTGGGGCACTGCTGTCTTCTGGCTTCTTCAGGCAGGGGAATCCCTTGGTTTTGTTGAAGTAAAAGTGCTTCTCTGTCACAACACGCTTGAGGCCTAGGAAATCCTGTACTTTGGCCATCTCCCCTGCAGGGTCCACTATGAGCCGCTCTCCACTGACGAACAGGATCTGAGAGAGGGGGAAGTACTGCAGCCAGTTCTCCAGGTGCAGAGCATAGATCCCGATGCGAATGGCACTCCATGAGGCATCAATCAGCCCCAGGGTCCGGTTTTTGAAGGCCAGCACCTCAAAGGTAGGGATCTCTGGCTTCTTTGACAGCGTCTGGGTATAGTCAGAAATGGCCCTGGTCACCGGGTTTCGCACCACCACGATGAGTTTGATGTCCTTGGCCATAGAGTGAATGCGCTTGGGAGCCTCGTTTGTCACAAAGTAACTGGGCGTCTTCTCCATGGTTATCTGCCCATCCACTGTCTTGGGCATCACATTTCTAGAAGAATGAAGAAAGGAGAAATACAGTGATTATTACCATACCCAAGATATCTTTACACAAATTCTATGCACCATATAACAAAGGTGGGAGGCACCAAATAGAACCAATAAGCACTGGGAATTTATTTATTTTTTTTATGTACCAACTGTGGGCTTGACTATGCAATTATTGGAAAAGGCAGCCTAAGGCTTATGCATTATTCTTTGGGAGTCTTGTGTCCCTGGATTTAAACTGCCTTCCTACCTCTTACCAGCTGTGTTTAACCTAGATTTCTTTATATATTAGTTTTAAAATCTCTGAAACGGAGGTAATGATAGCACCGACTTCACACTGTAGTGTGCGGATTAGGGGGATAATGTTTGAAAAGCATTTAGCATGGAATCTCATGTGTGCATGAGCTTAACAAATTAAGGGTTTTATTATTGTTGTAGTAGCTTTCAGGAAATGTTTGAGCTCAACACGACCTCAAAGATTATCTGGTCCAGGCTTGGCAAATTCTCACTGCCTTCTATTTGTCTGTGAGTCACAGTTAAGAACGATTTATAATCTTTAAATGGTTGTGGGGAAAACCCAAATGATAGTGATAGTAGAACTGCGTGCTACATGGAAATTATGCAGAATTTAAATGTCAGTGCTTGTAAACAAACCTTCATGGAGACACAGCCGCACTTACTTACAGATAGTGTGTGTGCTGCTTTTGTCAAGTAAACAGTGAGTGGGGTAGGTGCGACAAGCATGTGACCCACAGAACCTGGAAAATGCATTGTTTTACTTCTAAGAAGTTTTTCTGAACCTTGACTTCTTAGCCCAAAAACATTGTTGTATAAGTAATGAAACCGAAGCCTAAAGATGGGACAGAAATCAGACAAGCTTTCTGTCTGAAGAAAACTTAAGCACATTCGTGGGCCATGACATCGTCATTATAACATCCTAACACTCACCTTAAGTTCCTTTGAGAACAAAGTGACACAGAGAATGCATGCATAGGATGGGAACAAGACACACAGTTTTCTTCTTTCTTTGCTTCTGAGTTTGCCCTGTAATCTTCTCACAGAGCCTGCTCTAGCTGGGATCTTTAAAAAGCCTCCAAAGCCATAGGTTAAAGGCTTTGTCTCTAGCCTGGGTAGGGTGGAGCATTGGAGAAGAATTTAGGTCCTTGGAGTCATGCTTCGAAAGGGCATATTAAGAAACTACCAAGGGGGCCCCAGTGGTTGAAATCACTGGCTGCTCTTGCAGGGACTGCATTTGTTTCCCAGCACCTGCGTGGTGGCTTGCAATAAACTGCATCTCCAATTCCAGGATATCCATCACCCCCTTCTGATTTCTGCAGGCACCTGGCCTGCACTTGGTGCGCAAACATACATGCAGGCAAAAGCACACCTATATATAAGACAGATAAATCTAAAAAATATTTTTTTTAAATAATGGGCATATTAAGACCCTAGCATCGCCTCTCTTTAATCCTCACTTTTATGTCTTGGTCATGAGAAGAATGGGCTTTTTCCACCATATATGCCTTCTATGATAAATGGTGTTGCCACAGACCCAAAACCAATGAGGCAAAAGCAACCATGGATTTCAATCTTTGGACCCAAAAGCCATAATAAGTCTTACTTCTAAGTTGATTGTCTTAGATGTTTGTTAAAGTAACAGAAAGATGCCAGCTAATACAGACACCACCCCACAGCTCTTGTCTACTGGTCTCCTTGACAAAAACATGTTCCGACTCCATCCCTCCATTCACATTTTCCTCTGGGGAGACAATTTGATGCCACTTCCTCCTAGGACCAACCAGTGATTGAAAACGAGGCCCACGATCCTATTATGCAGTCAGACTGTCATAGGTCTATGTAGACCAGTGCTAATTGAGAAGAAACATGTTTGATACCTGATGGTATATGGGCCACCTGCCACCAGGTACTCCGTTAAATCCATTCACTTCCAAGCCCCGCGCTAAAGTGGTACATTCAGGATTACACAAGACCTCTTTGTTATGATGACATGCTTTTAAATGTCTCCGCTAATAAAACTTAATACAGACGAAGATCCCTTAGCCTCTCCTACCGTAATTAAATTTATTTACTAGCACTTGCGTGGAGAAAGAATGACTTCTTTTTATCTCTAATTCACATGCTCTGTCAATAATTAATTGCGGCTGGGTTTTCAGCTTTCACTGCAAGCTCTTTTATTAAGCAAGAGGAATTTGCCTGGTAGAAAAATTCGCCAGAACTAGTCCTTGTTGGACTACACTGGTTGGGCAGAGTGCAGTTTTCAGATCAGAGCCCAAGGCATGGCCATGAGTAATCAGGTTTGTTTAGGGGTGACAGATTCTCCACAATATCTAGTGGCTGGGCATGTGTGTCAGTTTGAGTTCACTAACCGTGCTGGTCTTCTCTGGAAGGGTGCAGCTAAGAAACAGTCTTTGGTTGTAGCCCTGTCTAATCTGGTAACCTGAAAGTTCTAATGACGGGTTTGGTCTCACTGAACCCCCTTACCCCATTCGGAACCTCAACTCCTCACAGAAAAGACGGGGCTAATAAAACTCCACGCTCACAGGGCTGAGATGAAGACTAAATGAGATAATGCGGGTGGATCCCTTAGGAGAGTATCTCATGAATGCCAGAATCTTATTTTCACTTAAGCCGGCTGTCTAGGAGCATTTCCCAAGCAATTCTTACAGAAGGGCAGAGGGAAAGAAATTACATTTGACTCAATGGAAAAACCGAACTGAAGGTCTGATCTAGAATAAGGCAAATTGTGATTCACACCAATGTCATCAACTGCTTCTTGATCTAGAGGCTGGGGCTGACCAGAAAGCTGACACTAGCTCTGGCTGGATACAAGGAATCAACTCAATCCTATTCTATTTCGGCTATAGAGATTATTTCTTTAACAAATTATGGAACTCGCATCATATTACAAAAAAAAAATTAAATAAACTCTGTTGAAAGATAACCTCCTTATGGGTATTATTTTTGCACGGCTTCTCCCCGATTTTGTTCCCTGCGTTTTTGTATGTCTGTCTTGTTGCATTTTCCCTCAGTACAGAAGCAGCTGTGCAGCTCCTCTTATCCATTCTTTGTACTCACACTCCTTAAGCCTCAATGCTTCCTTTACTCTAAGGCCCATTCAAATTCATCTCCTCTACTTTAGGTAATTGACAATCTGCCAAGATCCTTCTGGATCTTGACTCTTTTATCCAAAGCATCTGGGATGAAGTAGTTCCCAACCTATAAGCCAGTGGATACAGGAGTGTGTGTGTATGTCCAGCTCAGCATTTGATGCAAAGCAAAAACCAGGCAGGGACTCTGAAGAAAGCAGAGGGCAGAAGAGGAGTCCCGGTGGCTCTGATCATCTTGCTGCAGGTGAGTGTGACAAACGTGTAACTCAAGGACATTCCCACAGCAGCCATGGTAAGACTGGATCTCTTAATTAAGATCCAACAAGTTCTTTGTCAATGAGAAAATTTCCAGTGGCTTCTCCCACGACTATGAAATGGCAAGTCTATGCTCTTCTAAAGCCCACGCTTTCATTCACTCTCTCATTTATTCTCTTCATAAATGATCATTTCCTAGTAATATCACAGAGAATGAAACAAACTTGGAGCATGCACCCGAGCTGGGACTTCGGACAGATGAAAAGAGTATCAGAGTGCCGTGTAATTAACTGTCCTAATCATCAGAGCGGGTATCATTAATGCATTAATGTTCCAGCTCTATACAGGAGGAAAGAGGCTTGGAGTACAAGGTCTCACTATGCATGTGTTTTGTTTCTAAGTTCAACAGTTAAGTTATTCAGAAGTTAATGGGGTGATTCTCTGACGAATGCCTGCCAAGCCATTGATCTGGTCTCTGGAGCTGAGGCCAATCCCGGGGCAGGTTTTCTTGTAATAGGGTTTGTTGCTGTTTCTCCTTCCCAGATCTCTCATCTGAAACTCTGATATGGCAACTAGTTCTGCTCTATCCTGGTCTCCTCTCCTGATAATACTGGACGAAGCAGGGCTCAGGTGTTTGCTCAGACACCAAAGTGTTTACCACACAAGCAGTGAGGTCCTAAATTTGATCCCTCAGGACCCATGTTTGTAAAAAGCTGGGTGTGTTAGTACATGCTCACACTTTTAGCACTCAGAAGTCTCAGACAAGTGTAGCCTGGCCAGCCTCCTGCTTCACCTACTTGGAAAGTCCCAGGCCAAGGAGAGATTTTGATGGGGGAGAGTCTTCTGTTTTGTGTTAATTTCATTGGTTAAATAAAGAGACTGCCTTGGCCCTTTAATAGGACATAAAATTAGGTAGGCGGAGTAAACAGAACAGAATGCTGGGAGAAAGAAGCTGAGTGAAGGAGTCACCATGATTCTCCCACTCCAGACAGACGCAGGTTAAGATCTTCCCTGGTAAGCTACCTTGTGGGCTATACAGATTATTAGAAATGGGTTAGATTAATATGTAAGAGCTAGCCAATAAGAGGCTGGAACTAATGGGCCAAGCAGTGTTTAAAAGAATACAGTTTCCGTGTAATTATTTCAGGGCATAAGCTAGCCATGCGGGCAGCCGGGTGCCGGGGACACAGCCTCGCCGCTCCAATTACAAGATTTTGTCTCAAAAAAAAAAAAAAAAGATAGGTGGCTCCTGAGGAAGATTTACATAGCAACGCGCACGCACACACACGCAGACACACACAGAAAGAGAGAGAGAGAGAGACTGAAGAAGACATTTCTTTTATTGGATATGACGAACTTCCACCTAGTCTTAGAATCTTATCCTTCCCACCTTCTTGAAGCTTTCCACCCTCAATTTTTTCGTTTTTAATTAAGTTCTTCTCAGCTGGGTCTGACATTTCAATACACCCATGTTCTCACATCGTGGCGTGCGTGAGGAACAGGAGAAAGGCCAGGGATGCTGGAGGGAGTTAGACAAGGTAAGAGAGTTAGAAAATAAGGTCAGGAAAGATGGGCAGGGAGCAGATCCTGGAGGGCCTGCCTAATCCGAGGGAGCCATAAG